ACTGTCAACTTTCTTCATGACTGAAGACTAACCTTCACTGTCAACTTGACACACCTGAAGAAGAAACCCCAACTGACAAATTGTCTTCATCAGCTCATGCCATGAGCATGTCCAAGGGGCCATTTTCTTAAGTGCTGATTGTTGTAGGTGGGCCCAGGCCACTGTGGAAGGTGTCTCCCCCTAGAGGTGGGCCTGGGCTGTCTGAAGGTAGCTGAGCTAGCTAGGGGAAGCAAGCAGGTAAGCAGCATCCCCATGTGGTGGCTCATCCAGTTTCTGCCTTATTCCCTTAGTGTCTGACTGTAGCCTACAAGCCAGAGAAGCGAACTTTCCCTGAGCTGGTTCTAGTCAGTGCTTAGCAGTGTCAGAAATGACTAGAGCAGAGCCGATCCTATAGAGTGGGTTGCTGTTCTGATGAACCTGACACTTTGTGGGAAGATTAAAGATTTTAGAACTCTGGGCTGGAAAAGCCATTAAGTGCTCAGCTCTGGGCTGCTCTGTGGGAGCTGCAAAACAAGCTGAAAGCAGTTGTAGGTGATGAAGGCCTGGCTTGTGGAGCTCTAGAGGGACTGGAGTCTTTCTTTGAGAATTTGGGCTTTTACACTGTTGGGATTATGTTTTTTTATTGTGGTATTAATATTAACATGAGATCTTGAGTACAAACCAAAAAAAGGAAAGTTATTATTTAAGCATGATGTGTTTGTATGTCAGGCTGACAAGGAGTGAGTGGGCTCGTGACAGCTAATCTTGGTTTTCAACTTGAGACATCTAAAAGAAGGGAACTCAACAGAGAACTGCCTGTCAGACTGCTTGCTGGGCATGTCTGTGAGGCATTTTCTTAACTGCTAACTGACACAGGAGGGCCTAACACACTGTGGACGGCGTCATTCCTGGGGAAGTGGCCTGCATCGCATAAAAAGTTGGCAGAGGAGGAGAGTCAGTAAGCAGTGTTTCTCTACGGTCTCTGTCCTAGTTCTGGCTTTGAGCTCTTGACTCAGATTCCACCAATGATATACTCTAACCTGCAAGTCAAATGAGCCCTTTTCTGCCCCAAGTTGTCTTTATCAGCTTCCTGTCACAGCAATAGAGACCCAACTAAAACAAAGGACAAAGAAAAAAACTTCCCATGACAGACATAAACTAAATGAATTATAACCACCACGGTTACACTACAGAAGATACTTGAAAAAAATCCTTTACACTACAGAGAAAAGGAAACACATCAATGAGAACATTTAGAAGAATAAACTCCACTAGACTAGTAGGTAAGCAAAAAGAGTGGGAAATTTCGGAGAAAGCCCCAAATATTACAAAAACAACAAAATAAAAAGAATTAATTCATGCTTTCCAATAATTACCAAATGTTAATGGCCTCAATTTGCCAAGGAAAAGACCCAGACTAGCATATTAGATTAAAACACAGGATCTATCAATTTGTATTTCTTGTATTCTGTCTGACCACAAGAGCCTAAAACAAGAATTCAACACCAAAGTGAACTACAGGAAAAGCAAAACAAAACCTCATAAAGACTGAATAACATACCAATGAATGATGAACGGTTCATCAGGAGATGATCAGGAGGGAACTTTTCACATTCCTGGAGTTGGGTGGGGTCCACCTATCTGGGTTTTCTAAGCCCTCAAATACTGCTGATGCATGATAACTGATAATCTCTTCTCTAGGGTAGATAGCTCTGGTTAACTGAGATCTGCAGAGGCCCACTCTAAAATGGCTTTTAGAGGTCCATGGATCTCTGAAAATATAAGTAAATTGCTGTATATACAGTATGTACTGTACGCTATAGTACTAAGAGGTATAGGTTAATGACATTTATTAATGGCATCCTGCATTAGATTGTAAAAATGAATGACTGAATGAATGTCCATCACCCAGATTCTAAGTTGAATATATATATATATATATATATATATATATATATATATATGTCAATGTAGTGTTTTCCCGTGTTCCTGTTCATTGTATATGACTGCTGAAGACAGAGAAGTCTTTCAATAATAACTCCATATATTTTTTTAAGATTTACTTTTATTTATGTGTCTGTGTAAGTGAATGTCATATGTGTGCATGTGCCCACAGAGGCCCAATCACCTGAAGCTGGAATTGCAGAAATCTGTGAGGTGCCCAACACAGTGCTAGGAACCAAACTTGAATCCTCTTGAAGAGCAGCAAGTGCTCTTAGCCAATGAGCCATCTCTCCAACACTGAAAAACTCCCTACGTTTACATGCTTTAGACTTAGGCTTTAAAGTCTAAGGTGAAAAACGTACAGATCTGAGAGGAACATAGCCAGCCAGCAGGAACAACTGCACAGCAGAAATACTTCCTGCTTTCCCATTGAGGGATCCCTTTGCTCACTGACTGGCTCATCACATTCCACACCTGGCAAACAGACATTGCTTCATGTTTAGATTTCTGCAATCCATGAGCACAAAAAACACTGCATGATGCAGATGAGTCAAAATGAAGACTAAGACAAGATGTACTATGGAGACTGAAAGAGAATGATGAAAAAGAAAAGCAAATGAGTAAAGAGCTAAAGCAGTGCATGCAGTTCTCCCCGGCTTCTTCCCTGTGACACTTTCGTATCGGCAGGAAGCTGGTTTCACACAATAGCATGCACCACGTGCTCAGTCCTACGGATGAGAGTGTGGCCATCTTAGACAACACATCTCCCGAGGGACCGAGTAGCAGTCTTCATACCAGGTGTTTGCCCTATGATTCTGTCCACACACTTGCTGCTCCTGTGAATCAAAGCAATAATGTACTTGCTGTGAATGACAGACGTGAGTGGAGAGTTGGAGGAGGGGCTACAAGCCAACTCTCCTCCTACTCGTGGTGTTTGTACAGCTTGGTAAGCGGCTCTGGCCTTGGTAAGGTGTCTTCACCCTGTGACAACAGGCTATTCTAACCAGCAGACAGTTACGAGATCAATAAGGCCTGGAACAAATTTCAAAAAAGGAATAAACTAGTTGAACCAATTCTGAACAGCTACAGAGAGGGTGATTCTAAGCCCATTTGTCAGAGGATGGTGTCAGCCAGAGAAAAGGACTCAGGAAAATAGTAGACTCCAGACCCTAGGGGTGTCCTCTTTCTCAGGGAGAGAACACACCGGCCTTTGTGAGTACATTTTAAAAAAGTTATATGCATGTGTACCTATGTACGAGGTGTGCAAGTGTGTCCATTAGTGTGTCAGTGCGGGTAGTCAGGTGACACGGCAAAGAACCAGCCTTTTATCCCCTGAGCCACCACCCCAGAATGGAATTTGTTTTTAACAGAGCTTAATGTTCTCTCTGCATGTTGCTGAATTCTTTTCAATTAGAGTGCAAGAACTGAGGAAAATTCTGTAATATCTTCCACTACTCAATTAGCAAAAGTTAACCTGGGTAACGTTTTTAAAGGTGTGATGGGTCCCAGCTCTGTCACAGTTTGAGGTGGGAATGTGCCCATATGTCTCTGGAGATAAGTGTTGAGCCCAGCCTTTCTTAGCGACTCTTCACACAGCAGCAGGTGGAGGTTAAGGCAGAAAGCCTCTAGGTACGGTGCTCAGAACAAATGGTGGAGGTGTGCTCCGCCCTACATGGGATGGCTGTATCACCCCCTTCCAGGCTCAGGACCATCACAGAAAGGGTAGGAAGGACAGGAACCAGAGGAAGGGGAGATGTGCAACAAAGAGACATCTTCTGGACATGGCACAGCCATGTACTCATGAACTCACTGCAGCTGTGGTCATATGGACAACACTGGGCCCATCCCCATTCATCCCAGATGGAGGAGGGGCCATGAGACTCCCTCACCCCCTTAGAGACTATGGGCAGTAACGGTATTTGGGGACACTGGGTCACACACAGAAGGAGGACATGAAAGGAGGAAGAGGAGCTTGAGAAGAAGGGTTCTAGTGAGAGAGAGTAGGGGATGAAAGGAGAAAGAGGCCCTAAAATGACCAGGATTCATTATAAAAACATAAAACTGTCCAAAAATATTTGTAAGGCTTTGGAGTCAGTACCTCCATATGATCCATTGCTTTCTGCCACACAGACTGCTTCTCCTCAGCACTATGGCCAGGAATGGATAAGATGTTGTGGATATAATTGAAGACTTCTTCCTGTGGAATACAAGACAATGCATTCATCCTTCACTCCAGCAGAACTCAGCAGCTGCTGCTATTGGTACCAGTCTTGATAAACATGTAATTTTAGGAGATGAGAATCCATTTGGAGCTGGAGACAGTTTATGGAAATTGGCAGTAGAGGAAAAGTAAGTACCGAAAGCATAGGGCAGAGTCTTAGAAGTTTTAAATCTACTCCACTTAAATCTGATGTCAGGCTGTCAGGCCCTACCCGTGACCTAAGTGAACAGCATACTTGTATATAGTGATACACTCCCGATTGCATCTCAAATCTCTCGCCCTTGGCAACTCTGTTCCTCTGTGCTGGTTTTCATTTCATCCACATGACCTCCACTCAGTTCCCTGAAGATGTCTACTTTGCCTGCTTCGGGACTTTCACGTCCACGTCCCCCACACACCCATTCCTCTCTCAGAGCTCACCTTTGAATGGCTTCTCTAATGCCAAGAGTAGGTTCACACCGCACTTTCTCTTCCCTTTCGTGTATAACTCTGCCCCTTGTTAGCCTCCAAAGCAACACCCCACCCCTCTTCTAAGGCCAGTATCTAACTCCACATTTGGTTCCTACCGGTGTCTATCACTGGGTTATATGCTCAAACTTCAGGAACTTCATGTGTTTTAATTAGCAATACAGATTCTACTTATAGCAAAAACTCAACAAAAACCAGTAAATACGGCTGGGGGAAGAGAGTGATGGGTAGACAAAAGGTAAAGCAGTCTTTAAACTTACCTCTCTTAAGGGGTCGTGCAGGTAGCAATCAATGATTTTGTCATATTGGTGTCCCCGCTCATACATAAATTCACAAATTTGATAGCTGGAATGTGAAAGGACAGACCTCGGTTGCCAGAAAGGCAGGTGGCAATGCACTTCTGACATTCAGAACTTTACTCAAGCATGTGAAAAAGGGAATGGTATCATTTTTAGTGCTAAAGACAGGTCTTAGGGTTTTTAGAACAAGGACACCTCGGACTTGGCATCTCACATCAGGGACACAGTAAAGCACACATTCATTTGAATTCTGCAAACTCTCTGGAATCTGGTCCCAGGCATTTCGGATAAGGGTACTTGGCCTGTATTATGTATGTAAGAGAGAGAGAAAGCGCCAGCTTCTTTCCTACCTACTGCCTGAAGATGCTGCTGAATGCTTTGTCAATAAGCGCCTTAAAGAGACAATGTGTCTATTAAGAAATAGCTGGCACTAGGTATAAATAATTTGTACAATTGTTTATATTGTTTCTTTGCTCAAAATTAAATACAATAAACTAGGTAAATAAGTGTTCCCACATTATATTTTAACTACTATGCTAAATTTTATAATCATTTCTACTGAACGTAATTGTCATGATCTAAGAAACACCATAGCTGTATTAACTTGAAAGAAACCCCAGAGCTGGGCATGTCTACGGCCCCAGCGCTTGGGAAGAAGAGATGGCAACATGTAAGCTACACAGAGCATACTTCAGGACAGCCTGGGGTTACACAGTGAAAACCTGTCTCAGAACACTGAAATAGATGTGTACAAATAATGTGAAGCATAGGAAGACTGCCTGTTACCTTCACATTATACAAACAAATATACATTTTTAAATTTATGCTATACATTTCTGTAACTTTTGCTAATTTTTACAACTCATGTGAAAGGCAAAAAACAGAAACAAAATCCCCCCACCATCCCACGCTTATGTTTTTGTAACTGAGGCTATTGTTGGATGGCCCTTTCTTAATTAAAATAGCAGAAGTGCAAAATACACTAAGTTCACATCAGAGAAATAATAGTCGTGGAAAAGTAGTACACAACTTGAAGAGAGCTCACAATTCAGCCTTCTCTGCCATGCGGATGAGCCGGCTCTCCTCAAACTGAACGATGCCTCCAGCCTGCAGCAGTTCTAAGAGGACCTGAAGATTTGAAACAAGCGAGTAGAGAGTTGTTTTGTTTACAAGTTCTCCCGAGTCCATCGGCCACACGGCCCATGTCCTACGAGCTATCACTTGGTGACAGGTGGGCTGCGCTCACTGCCGTATGACTCTGCTCCTCAAGCACAGAAGGACTGCCACAGCACAGCTGTGAAAATATCCTGAAATACCTGAATACCTTTCTAAGAGGTTTATTGTTGTTGTTTCTATTCTGTGAGTGCTTTGCCTGCATGTATGTGTACCATGTGCGCATGCCTGGAGAATGCAGATGCCAGAGAGGGTATTGGATCCCCTTAAAGTAGAGTTAGAGATGGCTGTGAGCCACCACACAGGCACGAGGAGTCCTCTGCATGGACGCTCCGGCCTGCTGCGAGAGCAGCCAGCTCTCCTAATCACTGTACCATCTCTCTAGCTCCAAGAAATTAGTTTCGTCTGACACTTTTATGTCTTATGGTTTTAAAAATCTATTCCACAGTGTCCAGGTGTAGACACTAATTATTTTAATTAATCATAGGTGTGTCTGTGTGTGCGCACACGTGTGCACGCTTGAGAATGCATGCATACTAGCAACTCTCAAAACATACAAAAGACAGGAACAATTCAAATGTTTATCCAGGAATGAATGGACAAATGAGGTCTCACACTCAGACACACACATATAAATGAACAAATATTATTTGGTTTCAAATGGGAAGAAAGGTTGGATACATGGTGCACTATGGATGAACCTTAAAGACACTGTGCTAATGAACCATGCTCAAAGGATGGGCAACAAATACTGATGCCTGAATTTACATGAGGAACCAGAACAGGGAAGAAAGTAATGTCTGCAGCCAGGTGCCAGGAATGGGACAATATGGAAGTATTGCTGAGTGACCACAGCTCCATTTGGGAAGGTGGAGTATCTGGGGACAGTGGAAGGTAGCTCACGTCATCTGACTTTAGACTTAAAATGATGCATTTCGAGGCTGGCATGCAGCTCGGTTGGCAGGGAACTTGCCTCGCAGTCATGAAAGTCTGAGTTTGAGTCCCAGCTGTGCATGGTATCAAGTGCATGCCTACAGTCCTCAAACTCAGGAAGATCAGGAATTGAAGGTCATGCCCAGCTACACAGTGAGTTCAAGGCCAGCCTGAGCCACATGAGATTTGCCTTGGCACTTTTTAATCCAGGTGTAGTGGTGAACACATAGAATGCCAGCATCAAGATGCTGATGCAGAGGATCATAAATTGTAGGCTAGCCTGGGCAACAGAGCAAAACCCATCTCAAAAACAAAGACAATAACAGAAACAATAAAAGCCAAAAATATTGGCGTTCACATCACTTTCACCATAGTAGCTGGAGATAAACCAAGAGCAGGACAGTGGTGCAGCTAGCACCTCAGGCCTGCCAGTGAGTTCAGGATTCAGGAGACAAGACTCATGTCAGGGCACCAGGGACCCTGCAGCAAGAACTTTTTGTTTATTATTTTGATATTGAACAAAATCAATCCAAGTTTTACACTCAAGGCCCAAACTTAATCCATTTGGAGCACTGGAACATACTGCCATGTACAATAAAAAGGGAATCAAACCTATTCGCTGTGTCAGCTTGGAATAAAGGAATGGAATGAAGCCAGTCTTCCCAACTAATGGCTGACTGTCATCACCACGGTTTTTTGCAAGCATGTTAATCAGTATTATTAAAAATTAACTAACGTGTAACTATGTGTGTTAAACATGAAGGTACTGAAACTAAATGCTCATATTTCCTATTACTTTATCACGTTTTGCTCCTCTATCTGCTCTCAGGCTATTTATGCCCACTGCAGCTGCACCTGGGTAGTGGCGGTGGCACAGAGGGGCAGCTCGGCATCCTCCAGCTCCACGTTTAGTGACAGCACATCAGAAGACTAGGTAAGACAGCCTGGGATCCCTACAGATCATCAAAATGCTATTAAAAATCTTACTTCTCAAAGGGTTGTAAAAACAAGCAACCAAGCAAAAGGAAACAGACCCACTGGTGGCCTCACAACCTGAAATGTTTACTTTTGGTGCCTTGCTAGAGACAGTTTGTCAGTCCCTGGTAAAGAGAATGGAGAAAATATTAATGAGGTAGTTAAGCTTAAACGCCTGACTGTCTGGGCCAGCAAGTGGTAAAGGAGCTTGCCCCCAAGCCTGACTCCCTGAGTTCAATCCCTGGGTCCACGGCAGAAGGAGATACCTGACTCTTGAACGTTGTCCTCTGACAGCATGTGCACTGTGGCTCATGCTCACACACACCAAGTTAGTAAGTGTAATTTTTCAAAGTTTGCCTGTCTGCAGGCTTTAAACTGTGAAGGGGGAAAATAACATTTTTTCCTCAAAACTATTATCTGTGAGGAGTGATGAGAGAGGGTAAGGGGCAGGGTGTGTGCTGCAGAGGAAGTGTAGGTGTGCTGATGCACAGTACTATACCTATGTATAAAAACGGCTGTACATTGTATAAAACCGTCAAGGTGAAGCCCATTATCTTGTATACTAACTAAATGAAAATAATAGAAAACAACCTGTTACCTGACTGGGCAAAGCAGTCACTTCACTGATGAGAGAAGAAAGTTCTGATGGGTTTTACTTGCGCCTTATTTATTTACATAAATTTATATAAATGGCGCCACTTGTGTCAGAACTGGACTTGGGAGCTAAGTGTTGACTCTGAGCACAGCACTGGAAAATACTAAGAAATACTGCATAAACCAGGTCTGCTACATGACAAGCAGTATGAGTGCTGGGTCAGCAGGGAAGGAAGTCCCATTTGAACTGTAACCCTGAACAACTTATTCCATCAATTTCACTGCTTCAAAAGCTGAAGAGGGGGAACCATTTGAATGGGCACCTTTGTAATCAGTATGGCTACGGTGCTGAGGTTATTTTTCAAAGTCCGGTTTTAATGTGCAGGCGTGGCCACATCGTCACACCAAAGCCAAACCCTGGAAAGCAGTCACCCTGCGTTAATTCACCTTCTATCAAAGAAGCCTTTCATGCTAAGAGGTTATACCCACACACCACAACACCTCAGTCCCCCCTCACTGTTGTGGACAAACATGTGTAAACAGAAAGTTCCCTCATTGTTACTTGTTCTCAGTGTAGCCTCACAGGAAACCACCATGTTCGACTTGCTCTCTGAGTCTACTGCAGCCACCGCTGGGCCACGGCAGGGCGGCTGAGGGGTTCGCTGCTGCCAGTCTCCTGAGTGCGAGTCTAGGCTGTGCACTGCTACCAGGAAAGCCAGCTCAACAGTCACAACTCTAAATCCCTGTGGCTTAGGAACTTACAAAGTTTGGTATCAATTTTAAGTGGGTTGACTTAGTTCTCACAATTCAGTGTACACGCTTTTAAAGCACCTCTCACGAAAGTGGCAGGATGAAAAAGAAGCGGTGGCCATTAATACTATCCCAGTATTAATGGGGGGTATGTGTGTGGATTCCAGTCTCTGGAATGGATCCCTCCATGCAGTGGCACCTTAGGATACTCTCCAGATCAAATGTGCCAGCACTCATGGTCCTGTATTCTGGGAAAACAGTGAGCTGCTGCTAAACAATGAGAGATGGAACGTGTTGGGTGCAGACAGTGCCACTCGGACTGGAGCTCAGTGGCCAAGCACTGTACACACGTCCCTGTGTCCACCCTTTCCTGCCTGCCACCATCTGTAGGTTAGTTAGTTCGTCCAGATCATTTCCCTTACATGTAGTGACGCTGGCACAAAGGAGCTCTTTCTGGCTCACTCTTTGTGTGAGAGCACTGATTGATAGGATCTGCAATCATCTAGGAGCAAGCCTGAGGCACACCTGGGGGAGGGGGGAAAGTACCCAGATCAGGCCAGCCTGTGGCCAAGCCTGTGAGGGGTTATCTTGACTGCTTACTGAGTGGACACAGTCACCTGAAGAGCTGCACCATTCTCTGCACTTTGGCTCTGGACTGCATGAAAAGGCGAAGCTGGCCAAGCACCAGCATGCTTCCTCTCAGCTCCCTGACGGTGTGTTAAATGACCAGCTGACTCAAGCTCCTGAACTAAAATAAATGCTTCCTCCCTGAGAGTGCTTCTGTTAGGGTGTCTTAACAACAGCAACAGCAGAAGCAGCTAAAACAGACTTTTTCTACACTCTTTTGCAAAGAGTTCTAGTGTTCATACCTGCTGTCTTTCAGAGTGTCGGGAGTCATCATCCGGGCTACAGAGGAACTCAAGGACCTGGCCAAAAGGAACAGTGATAATTACCCTTCTGTGTCAGCAATTCATTCCCACTCACTGCTGACCAACACCAGCATGTACGCGGTTGCCCCAGCTGATGGCCTACTGCGTAGCAGGCATCAAGGATGCCAACAGTTTAGCATGTGTCCTATACATAATCTTTTACTGCTGAGAAGCTGAACGGGGAGCGCTTCACTTTGAGTTCCTTAATGCCACAGTCAGCATGCATGGACTTCGGTCAGGACACTTGACTCTGAGTCCTATCCTACACATAATCATGATATTTCTTTTAGAAAAAAATAATAACCCTAAGTCTAGCCTAACCTTAGTCAAAGGCTTTCTCTGGAAAATGAGGATAAATGCAGTGATTTGAGAACCTCTGGAAAACAGTGAATGGACACGAGGCTTTCCTGGCTCTAGGAAGCGCTCAGCACGGAGCACTGTCACCACTGTTCTCTAGTGATGCTCACACTACCCGTGGACATGGAGGGACGTTCTGACCATGCTTGAGAAATGCCTGGAGAGTCAGACTCATTCCTAAGGTAATTCAGCTACCCAAAGTATCCTCTTCTCCCAATAACCAATACATCTTACCATCAGTGAGAGAGACTCTTAAGTTAGCAAATTCAGAAGCAAGAAATTCTAAGCAACTTAGAGTAACCAAATAACTGTTAAGATAGGATATTGAAAAGCCGTGCTCCCATAATGGTAATTGGGCAAAATCCTATAGCAGAGCATACCATTAAAACATACATCCCTACTCAGATCCCAAACTTGAACACAGCCCCAGGAAGTCTGTGAATGGAGACCATCAGAAACGAGCTGCAGGCCTCACTGCTAAACACACTTACTTGATCGAAGAGGGTTCTATTCACAAACAAGGTATTGTCAGGCTTTGCGAGCTGCCGAGCAAGGAATGTAAAGAGACAACCCACTTGTGACGGGGTAAAATCTGAATTCTCCACCATAACCTGGTGAGCAAAAACAAACCATTTAGCAATATTTCATCTGGTTTGATGCAAAAGTATGCCAATGTCGTGCCCCCCCCCCCCCCCCCATCAACAAAGAAAGATGAAAGCTGCTTTGGGTTAAAAGTAAAATAACCTCAAAGTGAAGAATCCCAGGCACAAAGTCAGTACAGCTGCCTTGGCGGGGTGACTGCTTCTGTCAAGTTGGTGGTTTGTGAATGGACTCTTATAACCTTATATAACGGGTTTCCAATCACAGCCATTCCTCTGCTTTAACTTTGCTCTCGTCCTAAGTCCCCACAGTATATATGGTGCTATGACAGGGGCCTTGGAGGAAGTTGTGATGGTAAGCATCGATCGTCAACTTGACTGAATCTAGAGTCCCCTGGGACACAGACCTCCGGGCCTGCCTGTGGAGGATTATATTGACTGTGTTAAATAAGTTGGCAGAGTAGGTATCACCATTCCCTGGCTGGGATCCTGTCTTAAATAGAGAAGGAGATGGAGCCGCAGCATTTGGAATTATGAACTAAGAAGGAAGGTGAGTCAGACAAACATCCTAAAATGTGTAATCACATCCCATCAATATAAAGACATAAAAGCAATATTGAAGCCCAATGCTTAAAAACAAAACAAAACAAAACAAACCCTACTCTACAACAGCACATTAGATTCTCTGTTACAGAAGGAATCTGTAGGAAAATAAGGAACAGCTTCTAAGCAAAGCTCTGAAGTCTAAAGCAGAACCTTTGCCAAGGAAATATTAACCAAGAGAAGATAGAACAATGGTGTGTGTGGGTACTGGAAAACAGGACTCTGCCAGGGAAACCCTAAGTTCTACTGGGAGGCAGAAGCAGAGGAAGAAGGATAAATCAGACGGCAGCCTCAGGATTCTGGAACATATGACCCAAACTGTGGGAAGCCTAGAGGCGCTGAGCCAGAGAGCGGGCTGTAATCAGGGCTGTGCTTGGGGAAGTGACCCTGTGTCCAAGTATGGCATACAGACAGACCACGTCAGGGATCCTACAGCAGGGACTGCATGGGCCCGAGGCAGGAAGGGGGCCGCACTGCAGCAGTGGGGATGAAAATGGGAGCTCGGTGGAGAGAGCAGCCAGAACACACGTTCCTACATATGGAAAATGTAATAGAGACACACTTTGAGCATGACCAGTCGGTGGATAAACCTGCCATTAACAGAGAAAGAATGCAACATTTGAGGCTGACGATTGGGCACTGCTGAGGGCTGACATGGTGGACTAACTGGGGTAAATTTACCACAGAAGAGGAGTTTAAGTCCTCCAGTCAGAGACAACGTATGAGCCCCTGCTGAAAAAGCCTCCTGGGGCCTAGTCTGACCTTCTTACTTTGGAAGCAACCCGCCCCTCCCTTAGTCCTTCTTCTTTAGCATGACAACACTTGTTCAAGTGAATTATCACTGCCACCAAGAAATATAATCCTGAGTTATAGCTCCAGTTACACATTCCCTGTACACCTACATCACCAGCCAGCTCTACGTATAACACATGTCCCAGCCTATGACTTTCCCTGCTTAGTGGCTCCAGTCCCTGTCTAGAATCCCGATCTCAGGGCCCAGCTGGTGCTCCTCTAAGCCATTAGCCCTTCCTTCTGCTCGGAGGCTCCAAACTGACCTTATACACATCTTTTACAGAAGCAGCTCCAATTCACATCTGATTCCTTTGGCAACTCAGCAAATGTCTAACTGACTCCATCCTACAAGGTTTCCATTTTTTTCCTCCAAAATATTTCAAAGTCCATGCTTACAAAATGCCTTTTCATCACTTAGTCTCAGGTTTTCCCTACGCCGAACATCATACCGCACATAACAAGCCCTTCTTCCTGTCCCCGCCACTCACTTTTCCTCCTACTCTCAACACCTCCACCAAAGTACACTGCAACACATGAATAAACCTGTACCAGAAAGTACACTGCAACACGAGTGCAACCTGTCACCAAAAAGTACATGCAACACGTGAGTACAACCTGTCCCAGAAAGCACTGAGCCCTTGATCTCTACTCCTTGACTCACGGTGAATACTAGCATGACAGCAACCTGCTACAGCCACAGGGAGTTACAGAGCTCCAGTCTTTGCATCTGGATCATCCTTCCAGACTAGGATAGATCCAAATTCAAATTCTAACTTGACTGATATATAAATGCTTCTTAAACATGCTCTGGGCATGCTACAACAACAGATCCCCATGAATATAGTTAATTCAGCATAACAAAATTAATAAAACTAATAATAAATACCACTAATAAGCCTCAGTTTCTACCTTCACAAAGTGCAAGGTGAGACAGGAAAAGCTGTAATTGCACGATGCAATGTGCAAGAGCAGCACGGAGTATCCTGGGAACACAGGGAGCTCTAGCCAACCTCAAAGTGTATAGTAGGATACAGACATGGTCCAAAAACTAACAGAGAAAGGAAGAGGCAAGTTTGGCTGAAAGATAACCCATGCAAAGAGCCGGAGTCATGATGATGACACATAAGTAAAGAGCATGTAAGTGCGAGGTGGGGGGGGGGGGATGATGGAAAAAGGAAGTTATACAGTAGTCAGGGAAATATAGAGGTCCTTAGATGTCATGTTAAACCACTTTGATGGATACAGCAAAAATTGCTATGTGTTAGGCCATAGTTTAGATAGTTTGTTCCGCAGAGGTGTATGATATGGAAGCCTGGTCCCATTTGTATAGATGGCACAATTTTTGATAGGCAGGGTCTAGTGGGTAGAAACTAGGTGCCTGCACGTGTCACTGGGACGAGATTAATGATGAGCTGTCATAAAAAGAGTACACCTGGTCCCTATCTCTCTGATTTAACTCCCTCTCACTTTCATTGATACCGTGATGCCGACCACTGTGTTCTGACAAGCCAAGGAGACCTTTACCAGAAGCCAAACAGGCGAGGGCACTCAATTTTGAGATTTCAACTTCCAACTCTGTGAACTATGTAAACCTCTTGTCTTTATAAAGTCTCCAGGTCTGTCTTAGGGTAAAATTGCAGTAACATACACTCAAGTGTCTACTTTTTGCTCCTGATAGACACCACTTTTAACTTTTACCTGAGCACATGGTAACCCAGAATGCTTCAGTCTCTCTTAGTAGCTCTCAAAGTTCCGGAGAATGTGATATAGGCAGATTTATAGTACACAACTTCAAAGATATTTCCTTACTGACATATTTCTGACATGGGCTTCTTAGATTCAGAAGAACAGCTACACTGAACCACCAGAAACCAAGTGCCAAGGGTAACAGTAACAAACCAAGCTCAGTCCCTGGGGGTTTCTGAAGCTGCTTTCCTGGATCAGGCTGCCTACCTCCAGCTTAAGAAGGAATAATACATTCCGGAACATCATAGTTAAACTACTGTCATTTTGTGTTAACTCACAGGTATAATTTAATTCCAACTGATCTAACAGAGAGGTTCAAAAAAATACCAGATAGACAAAAGGCAGAGTTACAAATAGCTAGATTATCTGGGAATCTAGGTGAAAATTCTTTATATTTACTGCCTGGATTTAACTGGGTTTATTCTAGTCTCATAGTCATCACCACTTACATTACAAGGCTAATAAATAGCTGAATTGAGATGATATATATATATATATATATACTTTGTACATGCTCTGCATATTTACAAGGAATATTAATTAATGAATATTAATTCATTAACACAAATGTAATGTGTTTATGCTTCATAACTAGAGGACACTTTAATTCTGGCCTCTTGACCAAAGTAATCTAAAAGGAAGGGACCTCTGTTTTATGAGCAGATGAAGAATGACAACTGCAGGCTTTCAACTGAACCTCTGAAGAGCTGCGGAGACACAAAGGACAGGGACGCATCTGTCTTTGCATGCACTCATAGCAGCAGCGTGGATCCTAAAATAGGTCTTTGCTGACTCTGAAGCTGGATTGGGATAATCCTCAAATCATTCTGAAGTGTCGCCAATCATCTTATTGCCATAGCAGAACATGGCACTACCATGGTAACCAACTAAGGCTTCTAGAGACAAGAGATTCTTGGCATTAATTGTTTCTTAAAGCTGTCTCTATTATTACACACACCACATTAGTAAGGCAATTACCACAATGACCATTTCTCAAGATCATAACCTGCACCCCAGCATCCAGCCTAACACTTTTTCAGTTCGTCATTAATATTTCATTCACCTCTTAGGACCAAACACCACAATATAATACTGTAACAAATGGCTCCACTGAACAGATTATTTCAGATCCTGCTATAAAAAAAAATCAATTAGCTTAACATAGTACCAGTCAAGAGAAAGATACGCAATCTTTGAACACTTACTTTCAATAAAATATCCACAATGCGCTGTTGGTATTCCACAGCTTGCTTGTCATTTTTAAAATCTTCGAAGGTCTAAAAGAGAGAAAATAAAAATTAAATTACTGTTATTTGCTAATTTTAGGAGGAAACAAATTACTAAATCCCCCTCTCTTTAGTGGAAACAACTGAATTTATTTCCTTTTATAAAATAATGCCCAGATGATCATTAAAACATTTGTGAAATAAAATTAGAAAATCTTCATATTCAAATTTTTAAGGAGAAAATATGCATTTGGAATGTTACCCCCACCACCAACAAATAGATAAACAGAGAGAGAGAGAGAGAGATTTGGATATATTAGATAGAAATAGATAGATACACAGATACAGATAGAGATACAGCTCTATATAAGGGGCTACAGATGCCTGCAGAGGCGAGAGGTACTGGATAACCCTGGAGCTGGAATTACTGATGGTTGTGAGCCACATGACATAGTTGTGGGAACTAAACTAGGTACATTCATGTACATTTACCACATGCCTGCCTTGTGCTAGTAGGGGCCAGAAAAGAACATCAGATTTCCTGTAACTGGAGTCACAGTCACTGGCTGTGAGGTGCAGTATTGTGGCTAGGAATGGAACCCAAGTCCTCTGCAAGAGCAATAAGTGCTCTTAACCACTCAGCCTACTCCAGCCCCCATTACTTCTTATGATACTTCTTAATGATAAGATACTTTAATAAAATTAGTAGAAAACTATAGAATTTAATATCTCATGATTTCTAAGACCTTAAAATGATTGTGATATATATGATGTTACTATACAACCAAAAAGAGTTTTGAGGAAGAAAGTAAGACAATGTTACAAGGAACAAACAGTAAGGACCGTACAGGGTATACAGATAAGCACACGGATAGGCACTAGGGACCCTGGAAGACTAAGCACACAGGGCTGTCCCTTCAAGGGAAGGAATGAGATACCTGCTGTCCTGCTGCGAGGGTGGGAATGGACATGATTTCTAACCTGGTGACCTTTGCTCTATTTGTGGCTGGAGACAATACCAGACCTTGCCCCAGACCATTATCATAAACTTGTTCTTCTCAATCTATAGAACCTATCTTTGTAGAAAATTTTTTAAGTAATTGTTATTTGCTAATTTAAGAAGGAAACAAATTACTAAGTCCTGCTCCCAATTTCTGTACTCAACCTATAGAACCTGTCTTTATAGAGGCTGTTATGTATACTTTACAAAGAATTTCAACGTAGTCATGTCTGATCTTTATTTAGCCTACTTTGTTCCTCAAGGAAATGTATGTATGCCTTGTTGTGCGAGTAAGTTTGAGTTAATCATCACCAGGACAGTTTTCACCAAATTGGACTGTGATCATATACACCTAAACTGAATCACTTGGGGTCAGACTTTTGAAGTTTGAACCAACACCAGCTATTGAACCATAGCTTCCTCCCTTGGATCATCTCTCTGCAGGCCTGTGAAGGGCACAGAGACCCATTCAGAACTAGGCAACCTGGAACCAAGGCCTTAGGACGGAAGGGTAGGATGCCACAGGCTTAGTCACCATTCAGACTTTTACTTGGAAATAACCGAAATGCAGTTTACTGTCATGAAAATAATTTTCATGATTTCTACAATTAAGGAAAAGGGTTTTCAGGGATAGGTGTTTTAAAAATAATCATGGTTTACAGCTGTGCAAGTCACAATAGCCAGGAAATGAAACCAGCTTTGATGTTGATCAACAGAATGAATAAAAAATGTGGACACAATGAAATTTTATACAGTCAAAAGAAAAGCAAAATTATGAAATTTGCAGGAAAACAAATGTAATTGTACTGCAAACTTTCTTCCACATGCAGAACCTAGTTGTATAGTGTGTCTGTGTGCATGTGTGTATTTATAGGTATAACTGTATGACACAGAATGAGAGAGAGGGTCATGGAGAGGTGGAAGAGACCATCAAGGAAGTGAGACACAGAGGAGAGATAAGACACATGTGAGAGGACCTACTGGAGAAAGGAAGAGAGTCAGCTGGCAGGAGGAACACAGAGGAGGACCATGGTGGAGAGAAACAAATGAAAACAATGTGCAATGGATGCGTGTGTGAAGACGCCATGAGGAAATCAACTACTTAATATGCTAACCTAAAAGCTAACTTTAAAATATATTTTAATAACAGAAAAAAATGTAAAAATAAAGACAAATAATTATGGTAAAGCTGATCAAAGGCCAAAATTTTAAGCCTAACTACCAGAAGGAATTACCATATCCTCAAAACAGTGCGAAGCACAGCACTAAAAAATTTTATATTATTGCTTGTTGTGTTCTGAACATAATATACATTAAAAAACATTGGATTCTGGTGGCAGTAGCATGTTATAAAAGCACCAAATTCATACAAGTCTACACACAAAGGGATGGGAGCTGAGTCATGCCTGGGTGCTGAGCACGAGAGAGAAAAGACCCTAGCACCTTCTCCTGGTCGGCACCTAGCCCCGGGTTCTGAGGACTGTTAGATTAACAGAGATGTTAGTTGCTCTATTCCTGACCAAGGAGACGGACTGCACTTTGTGCAGGTGATGTTTTAAAAGGATCTGCACAGCCACGGGCTTTTAAGACTCTGTCAGTTCTACCCAAGCCAAGACTAGAGGACTTGCTACTCTTTAAATGGGCTATGAATTTTCTCCACCTTCTCTTTCTTCTTATTGGCATGCACTTCCTTCCTGTTTCTGCCTGGCACATGGCAGGTGCTTTAAAAACAACTATTGAGGGGGGGGAGGGGGGACTGGGAGGGGAGGAGGGAGGGGCTTATGGGGGGGATACAAAATGAATTAATAAAAGTTAAATAAAAAATTTAAAAAAACTATTGAAAACAAACAAAACAAAAACAGTCCTTGAATTATCTAATTAATTATTTACACAGAAAAATAAAATATGTTAAACTTTTTTCAACTACTATGCTTTGCAGTCAGTTAGTTGAAATGAGTTGACAAAAAGATCACAGGAGTACTTATTAATCTGGGAAGTTCAACCAGGAGATATTGTTATACTTAGATGAGTTAAATATGACTCTGCTTGAAGACAAGAAAATATTTCAGTTGCAGCTTCTGACTTATTAGAACATGAAGTACAGACAAACGTACACACACACACACACACACACACACACACACACACACACACACCCTTTTCTCCCTTATTCCAGACTGCTCATCTGAGATATTACTGAAGATGCAGAGGGTATCATTTGCTACAGAAGTGCAAGCCAACTAATACCCAAAGGCATAGAGAACTAACAAGTGTTCTATAAACAGTGACAAGGAAAGAGAATTCCCACAGCCATTTTCCTCCCAGCAGCACACAGTCACTACTCAGCACCACACATTGAAAGCTTATTTCTATAACTCTAATGAAATGGTGGCCTAAGAGTGTTATGGTGTGGTGGTAGGAAATGGCTCCCAAACTGGCACATCACTGCAGAGTGCCGTTCCACACAGAGATGTAGATCTGAAACTCAGGTTCAACATTATCTGGGAATTTGGACATAAACAATTATAGGTTATTATGAGGTCTAGATGATATGACAGCAAGAAGAATCTTAAGCCAAGGTCAACAAACATCCTATGTGTAAGAGCCTTTTGATAAACAAGCCACACTTTGTAGGCTACATGTGGTCTCGTTTATATATTCTTTTACTTCTTATTTATTTCTTTGTTTATTTTACATTCCAACTGAAACCCCACTCCCTCCTCTCCTCCCAGTCTCACTCTCCCACCCACTTTCTCCATATCCCTGCTCTGGGTACCAGCCCACTCTGGCACATCAAGTCTCATCAGGACTAAGTACCTCCTCTTTCACTGAGGCAAGACAAGGCAGCTCAGGTAGGGAAACGGAATCCAGAGAGAGGCAACAGAGTCCAAGTCAGACACTGCCCCAACTACAATTGTTAGGAAACCCACTTGAGAACCAACCAGACCATCAGCTTCATATGTATAGGGGGCCTAGGACCAGTTTGTGCATATTCTTTGGTTGGTGGTCCAGTCTTATGAGCCCCCATGGGCCCACGTCAGTTGGCTCTGTAGGTCTTCTTGTGGTTTCCTTGAATCTCCAGATCCCTCAATCCTTCCCCTAACTCTTCCACAAGACTCCCTGAGTTCTGCCTAATGTTTGGCCGTGGGTCTCTGCATCTGTTTCCATTATCTGCTGGGCGAAGCCTCTCAGATGACAGCTATGCTAGGTTCCTCTCTGCAAGGATCGCAAAGTATCATTAATAGCGTCAGGGGTGGGGCTCTCCCACGGGGTGAGTCCCAAGCTGGGCCAGCCACTGGCTGGCATTCCCTCAATTTCTGTTTCATCTTCTATCCCTGCACATACTGCAGGCAGAACAAATTTTGGATTGAAGGTTTTATGAGTGGGTTGGTGTGGCCCTTTCTCCCCTGGAAAGCACTGGTACAGGAAACAACTTCCTAACAGAACACCAACAGCTCAGGCTCTAAGATCAACAATTAATAAATAAAACTCATGAAACTGAAAGCTTCTGTAAGGCAAAGGACACTGTCAATAGCACAAAACAGTAGCCTGCAGACTGTGAAGAGATCTTTACCAACCCTACATCTGATAAAAGATTAATATCCAAAATACATAAAGAACTCAAGAAATGAAACAACAAATCAAATAACTCAATTAAAAATGGGATACAGAGCTAAACAAAGAAATTCTAATGACCAAAAAGCACTTAAAGAAATGCTCAATGTCCTTAGTCATCAGGGAAATGCAAATCAAAACGACTCTAAGATTCCATCTTAAACCTGTCAGAATGGCGAAGATCAAACACTCATGCTGGCAAGGATGTGGAGCACTGCTCCATTGCTGGTGGAAGTGCAAACTTGTACAGCCACTGTGGAAATCAACTGGGAGGTTTCTCAGAAACTTAGGAATAGTGTTAACTCAAGACCCAGTATACCACTCCTGGGCATATACCCAAAAGAAGCCCTACCACACAGCAAGGACATTTGCTCAGCTATGTTCGTAGCAGCTTTATTCGTAATAGCCAAAAACTGGAACCAACCTAGATGTCCCTCGACTGAAGAATGGATAAAGAAAATGTGGTACATTTACACAATGGAATACTACTCAGCTATTAAAAACAAGGAAATCATGAAATTTTTAGGCAAATGGAAGGAAATGGAAAATATCATCCTGAGTGAGGTAACCCAGAAGCAGAAGGACACACATAGTATGTACTCACTCCTAAGTGGATATTAGCCCTATAGTACAGGATAACCAAGCTACAACCCATAGACCCAAAGAAGCTAAGTAACAAGGAGGCCTCAAGGGAGAATGCTTGAATCCCACTAAGAAGGAAAATAAAATGGACATCAGAAGTGGAGGGAGAGCGGGAACTGGGTGAGAGAAGGGGGAGAGAGGGGAAGGGAAGGGAACCAGGTGAAGGGAAAGCAAGGATGAGGGTGAGAGGGTGGGAGAGGGAAGGGAAATTGGGATGGGGAAGGCTCCTGGGAAGGTAAGGGGGTGACCCTAGCTAAGACTACTAGCAGTGGGGGATACTGGGACTGCCGGGCAGGACTTACTTACTAACCCTAATAATACAAACACTCTTAACTTATGCAGGTTTGAGGTCAAATGGGACTGGCCTTAAGTCCTCAGACAACTGTTTGTAGGACCCTGCCCTATCTCTTCACAGAAGACCCCCAAATAAAATAATATTTAAAGAAAAGTCAACAAAAATAATCACTTGCAGCTGGGTGTGGTGGTACATGCCTTTAATTCCAGAGGCAGGTGGATCTCTGTGAGTTTGAGGCCAGCCTGGTCTACAAAGCGAGTCCAGGACAGCCAATGCTACACAGATAAACCCTGTCTCAAAAAACCAAACTGGAAAAAAAGAAATCACTGGCAATGAATGAGACTAGCTATTGGAGCCTTCAAAGTACATGGAAACGGATGGCTAATGCCTCCTGGACTGATCACATCTGAATTCCTATTGGTTCTCTTCCCTTTCTCCATATGCAGTTAAAGTCACTGTTGCTGACGTCAGATATCAAATTTAAGCAATGCAGACTATGATGCAACGAACCTCTCCTGGCACTCAATTCTTAAAGGAGTTTACTCAGTCGTATACTGTCACTTGTAAAAGCAGTGTTTGCACACAGAGATAGGCACCATCTTACAAAGTTACTGTTCACATTTGAGTGTATTCCCTTCTTGTTTCATTTTTTCCAAATATTGAGTCTGTAAATATGTTTTAATGTGAACCGGGTGATTTCACTAAATGCTACAATATAAGCACTTTCCTTCTTACTAAAGCTAAACAAAACAAGAAAGTACAATATTGGGAAGGGCCATTCTTTTTTCTATAATTATTCCGCTATATGATTACAAAAAACAAAACCTGGCTCATCTAAATTCACTTCTAATTAAACATTTAGGAAGGTGTTTTCAGTGGAGACCTTCCACAGTCCACCTCAGCTTCAGTTACTTCCACTGTGCTCACCACACCTGCCAGAGATTACACCACCTAGACAAAAGCTTTCAAAAGACAAAAGTGGTCCTTTTTGCTTTCTGACAATAGAGACAACGGCAAGGGAAGAAAGGGCTGTAAGCAGGGAACTAACAGACCCGACAGTCTGAGAATTTCAACTCCTGACTCACTAGAGCATCATCATGTGGGGTTTTCTTCCTAATTTACACACACACCTTTGAATTAAAAAATACCTTAACAATCACAGTGTCCCTTACCAGTGCCAACACATTCAAAAATTCTCGTGTGTCAAAATGTAGCAGAGTCCGAACGTAAGGATAGACTTCTTCCTCGGAGGACGCTTCTACAGAATGCAGACGGATCAGAAACTCAAAAACCTGCAAGTTAAAAGCAACTGTCTATTATTTTCTACCATCTTACATCTTCCTCAAGAGCAAGGACCCCATATGGTGGAAACAAAGGCAGGCTGAATTCACTTTAAATTGCCACTGTGTTACTCAACGTCTCTCTTAAATTCTCTTTCACCCAAAACTTTAAAGTTGGTGACAGTGTGGACTCTTGTCCTTACAGTGGTGTTCCTGAGCTATGTATAGTGTAGCCACAGTTTGTCTTCAGCCACCATCTGGCTAGCTGTGTGATATAAGCTAGAGCCATTTGAGAAAAGGCCTCCATGAGACTGGGCTGTAGGGAGGCCTGCAAGGCAAGTTCTTAATGAGTGATTAATTAATTACTAATAACTCAGGACCACCCCTGGGCAAGTGGTCCTGAGTTCTATAAAAAAGAGGTAAACAAACCATGGGAACAAGCCAATGAGCAGCACTCCTCCACGGCCTCTGCACCAGTTCCTGCCTCTGGCTCCTTCCCTGACTCTCTCAGTGATGGACTGTGCTGTACAACTAGTCGGAAACAAACCCTACCCCTCCAAACTGTTTCTGCGGATGGTGCTTACCACAACAAGAGAAACCACAGCTAAGACAGTCACCCTAAGAGACAGACAATAAAATGCCATGAAAATAATACTCACCTGGTTCTTAACCAAGGGCACAAGATCTTCAGGGATGTCACCAAGGGGGTAGGCACGACCTGCCAGGCAACAGCTAGAACAAAGGAAGAATACACCTGATGCCTCAGTTTCTCACCCTGAGCTTCTGCTTCCATTGTCACACAGACTCAGCATTTGTCAGGTCAGGTTCAAAACAAGATCACTGTTATTCTGCAGACAGCTGACCACAGATAAGAACTATGAAATGATACGTCAAAAAAAAAAAAAAAATGATAAAAAGGGTACCGTTAGTGGTCCAGAAAATAAGCTGATGTTTAAACTGCCTTCACAAATGAGGTTTATTGTAATTAAAGTTCTTCAATGCCATGAAGGGGCCTCAAAGCAAAAAAAAAAAAAAAAAAAAAAAAAAAAAAGGGGGGGGGGCCTCTAAGAGAACATTAGACAGAAACAGTACAATATGGTGATTTAAACATGATGGTATTTTAGAGGGAAGGAGAGGTTTTTCTTTAAAGCCTAGAAAGGAGTTTCATTTAAAGGAGAGGGGAAGAGAGTGAGAAAGAATAAGAATAAGGCCTGCCAGGCATCCTGGAGCAAGCCTAGCAGCAGAGAGCTGGGTCCTGTCCCCTGTGCTCTATTATCTGGCCCACAACTCCATTCCCAGAGGCCTGCAGGCACCAGGAACAACCAAGTAACCCCACCTCAATCCACTGTCTTCCAAATCCCCCTAAAGCACACTCAGCAACTGTAAACTGCATGTGCTCTCCTGTGCTCCATTTTCTGGCCTAGAACTCTGCCTCTATTCCTGGAGGCCTGCCTGCACAGGGACAACCAGATGGCTAAAGGCTAGCAGCATAAGAACACAATCAAAAAGAGCCACCTGAGCCCAGCTCTCCTACTATATACTAACAGCAAAAGCACAAGAAGATGACCTTAAATCCAATCTTTAGAAGATAATAGAGGCCTTTAAAAAGGGAATGAATAAATCCCTTAAAGAAATACAGGGAATATAATCAAACAAGTGAAGGAAATTAATAAAACTGTTTAAGACCTGAAAATAGAAGTAGAAACAACAAAGAAAACACAAATTGAGGGAATCCTGGAGATGGAAAACCTAGGTAAGAGAACAGGAACTAAGGACACAAGCATCACCAACAGAATGCAAGAGATGAAGAGAGAATATCCAACATATAAGATATGATAGAAGAAATAGATATATTGGCCAAAAAAAAAAAAAAAGGTAAATCAAAAAAGTTCCTGACACAAAACATCAGGAAATTTGGAACATTATGAAAAAAACAAAACCTAAAAATAATAGGAAAATAGAAGAAAGAAGAAGAGGAAGAGAAGGAAAGGAGGAGAAGGGGGAAGAAGAAGAGGAGGAGGAGGAAGAGAAGGAGAAGAATGAAAGAATCCCAGTTCCAAAGCACAGAAAATATTCAACAAAATCATAGAAGAAAATTTCCCCAGCTTAGAGAGATGCCTATAAACATGCAAGAAGCTTACAGAATACCAAATAGATTGGACCAGAAAAGAAAATCCTCTTACTAAATAATAATCAAAACACTAAATATACAGAACAAAGAATATTAAAAGCAGCAAGGGAAAAAGGCCAAATAACATACAAAGGCAGACTTATCAGAATTACACCTAACTTCTCAACAGAGACTCTAAAAGCAAGAAGGATCTGAGTAGATGTCTTGTAGTCTCTAAGAGACCACAAATGCCAGCCCAGACTACTATACCCAGCAAAACTTTCAATCACCATAGAGAAAACAAGATAGTCCATGACAAAACAAAAACCAAATTTAAACAATATTTATCCACAAATCCAGCCCTATAAAAGATACTAGAAAGAAAACTCCAGCCCAAAGAGGCTAACTACAGCCAAGTAAACAAGAAAATAATTCTACACCAGCAAAACCAAAAGAAGGGAAACACACCGACACCTACAACCACACCCACACCCAACACATGGATGCGCACACACACACACACACACACACACACACACACACCTACATCAAGATAAGAGAAATTAACAATCATTGATCATTAAAATCTCTCAACATCAATGAACTAAATTCCCCAATAATAAGACACAGGTTAGCAGAATGGATGCGTAAACAGGACCCATCATTCTGTTGCATACAAGAAACACACCTCAGCAATAAAGGTAAATATTACCTCAGAATAAAGGGCTGAAAAATATTTTCTATGCAATGGATCCAAGAAGCAAGCTGGTGTAGCCATTCTAATATCTAATAAAATAGTCTTCAACAGAAATTAATCAAAGTAATCAGTAGGGAAGGACACTTCATACTCATCAAAGAAAAACTCCACCAAGATGTTGTCTCAATTCTGAATATCTATGGCCCAAATACAAGGGCATCCATCTTTGTAAAAGAAATATTACTATACTTGAGCATGTCTGGATATATGCCGAGGAATGCTATAGCTGGATGTTGAGGTAGCACTATCCTAATTTCTGAGAAAGCACCAGATTGATTTCCAAAGTGGTTGTATAAGTTTACATCCCCACCAGCAATGTGGGAATTCTCTCTAGCATGTGTTGTCACTTGAGTTTTTGATCTTTGGGCAGAGTTCAGGGAATCTTATAAAAGAAGGGGGAGATAGAAAGACCTGGAGGGGACAGGAGCTCCACAAGGAGAGCAACAGAACCAAAAAATCTGGGCACAGGGGTCTTTTCTGAGACTGATACTACAAACAAGGCCCATTCATGAAGATAACCTAGAACCCCTGCACAGATGTAGCCCATGGCAGCTCAGTCTCCAAGTGGGTTCTCTAGCAAGGGGAACAGGAACTGTCTCTGACATGAACTCAGTGGCTGGCTATTTGATCACCTCCCCCTAATAGAGGAGCAACCTTACCAGACCACAGAGGAAGACAATGTAGCCAGTCCTGATAGGATAGAGGACCTCCCCTATCAGTGGGCTGGGGGAGGGACATAGGAGAAGAAGAGGGAGAGAGGGTAGGATTGAGAAAGAATGAGGGAGGGGGCTACAGCAGGGATATAAAGTGAAAAAACTTTAATTTTAAAAAAATAAATTAATAAAAAAGAAACACACAAAAGAAATATTACTAAAGCTTTAAATCACACATTAAACCCCACACATTAATAGTGGGAGACTTCCACACCCCATTGGTGAATGGACAGGTCACTGAGACAGAAACTAAACAGAGAAATAAGGAAACTAACAGTTGTCATGAATCAAATGGTCCTAACATATCTACAGAACATTTCACCCAAACACAAAGGAATATACCTTCTTCTTAGCACATCATGGAACTTTCTCCAAAATCGACCATACACTTGGTTACAAAGCAAGTCTCAACAGATACAAGAAAAGTGAAATAACCCCATGTATTTTATCAGACCACCATGGATTAAAGCTGTACTTCAACAACAACAGAAATAATAGAAATCCTATAAATTCATGGAACTGAACAATTCCCTACTCAATGACCACTAGGTTAAGAAAGAAATTTAAAAAGGAATTAAAGGCTTTCTAGAATTCAATGAAAATGAGGACACAACATACCCAAACTTACAGAACACAATGAAAGCAGTACTAAAAGGAAAGGTCATAGCCCTAAGCGCTTTGATAAAGAAATTAAAAAGATTTCATACTAGTGACTTAACAGCATACCTGAAAGTTCTAGGGGAAAAAAAAAAAGCAAACACACAATCAAGAGAGGTAGAGGACAGGAAATAATCAAACTCAGAGTTGAAATCAATAAGTTAGAAACAAAAAGAACAATACAAAGAATCAATAAAATCAAGAGTTGTGCCTTTGAGAAAATTAACAAGATACATAAAACCCTTAGCCAAATTAACTAAAAGAAAGAGATTAACAAAATCAGAAATGAAAAAGGGGACATAACAACAGACACCACGGAAATCCAAAGAATCATTAGGCCTTACTTCAAAACCCTGTACTCCACAAAACTGGAAAAATCTAAATGAAATGGACAATTTTTTTTATAAATATCAACAAAGTTAAGTGAAGATCAAGTAAGCAATTTAAACAGACCTCTAACCTTTAAGGAAATAGAAGCAGTTATCAGAAGTGCCCCAACCAAAAACAGCCCTGGACCAGATGGTTTAAGTGCAGAAGTCTACCAGATTTTCAAAGAAGAGCTAATATCAGTATTCCTCACACTATTCCACAAAACAGAAATAGAAGGAACATTGCCAAACTCATTCTATGAGGTCAGTCACCCTGATACCTAAACCACACAAAGACACAACAAAGAAAGAGAATGTTTGGACCAATTTCCCTTATGAACATTGATGCAAAAATACTCAAGATACTCGCAAACCGAATCCAAGAACACATCAAAAACATCATCCACCATGATCAAGTAGGCTTAATCCATCTATGTAATCTACGATATAAACAAACTGAAAACACACACACATGATCATCTCATTAGATGCTGAAAAAGCCTTTGAAAAAAATAATCAAACACCTCTTCATGATAAAAGTCTTGAAGAGATCAGTGATAAAAGGCCCAAACCTAATTACAATAAAGACAATATACAGAAAACCAATAGCCAACATCAAATATATAGGAAAAAAAATAAAGCAATTCCACTAAAATCAGGATAAGACAAGGCTGTCTAATCGCTCCAAATCTATTCAATAGAGTAACTGAAGTTTTAGCTAGAGCAACAGACAACTAAAGGAGAATAAGGAGATTCAAATTGTAAAGGAAGAAGTCAAAATATTACTAGTTGCAGATGATAGTATACATAAGTATACTATCCCCCCACCCAAATTCTACCAGAGAACACCTACAGCTGATAAACACTTTCAGCAAAGTGGCTGGCTACAAAACTAACTAGAAAAATTCAGCCGTCCTCCTTTATACAAGCAATAGAAGGGCTGAGAGAGAAATTAGGAAAACAACACCGTCCACAATAGTCACAAATGACATAAAATATCTTGATGCAAGCAAGTGAAAGATCCATATGACAAGAACTTCCAAGTCTCTGAAGAAAGAAACTGAAGAAGATATCAGAAAATAAAAAGATCTTCCATGCTCGTGGATCGGTAGGATTAACATCGTGAAAATGACCATCCTGCCAAAAGCAATCTACAAATTCAATGCAATTCCCATAAAAATTCTAACCCAATTATTTACATTCTTTAAAAGAACAATACTCAACTTCATATGGAAAAACAAAAACCCCAGGATAGCTAAAACAATCCTGTATAATAAAAGAACTTCTGGAGGTAACATCATCCCTAATTTTAAGGTGTACTACAGAGCAATAATAATAAAAACAGCATGGTATTGGCAAAAAAACAGACAGGCTGATCAATGGAATCAAATGGAAGCTTCTGCCATGTCCCCATCTCCTGCCAAGCAGCTGCATGGCCAGGTCTCCCCAGGCTTAACCCTCATATTCTACTGGAATGAACTCTCTTCTATGGGTCAAGACACAAACATTGCAGCTTTCCCTCTGTCACTAATGTCTCCATGACTTATAAACCTCTTGCCCTTTTATGTAAAACTGGGATAAAATACATCTCCCAGACTTTCTGCCAGTAAAAGAAGAATACGCTATATAGCAGGTCTCTCAGCAACCAAGAGCATTCTCTGTTGTGGGACCATCCTGTGCATTGTGGGGTGTCAGCAGTCTGCCTGCCTTTGAGGCCTATCAGGAGTAACACAAAATTACCTCAAATACTGCCAGACATAGAACCTGCCCTACCTCTAATGGCTTTGAGATGGGTGCAGAGGTACATGTCTGTAATCCCAGCACTCGGGGAGGCAGAGGCAGGTGGATCTCTGTGAGTTCCAGGCTAGCCTGATCTACAAAGTAAGTCCAGGACAGCTGAGGCTACACAGAGAAACTGTATCACACAAAAACTAAAACTAAAATAAAATAAACTAAAACAAAATGGCTTGAAAGAATGGAAAAACACCACACAGGCAGGATATTGCTATACCACTTCAAACATGGGGGGGGGGTGGATGGATACAGTCACAGATGCATCAGAACCCCTCGCCTGATATAAACACGGAGTGGGGGCACACACTGTCGCAGACACACCGGAACTCTCACCTGATGTATACCAGGAGCTTGTTGCCCATAACGACCTGCTCATCTGAAACAGAAAGAAAGGCACTTAGCAGTTCTCTCTCCAGCCTTTTTAGAACGGTAACATTTATATGGGGAAAACTGTCAAAGTTGGCATTAAGATGAGGCAAATTAACATAGCATAAAATTAAACATCAAATGACATAAAATTAAAGTGGGAAATTACTTTCACTTTTTAAATTTCCTGTTAGATTGTATTTGTAGAGCTATAGATGCTTGCGTGTTATTGACAGGCTGGAAGCGAGGAAGGGGAGAAAGCTGAGGGACTGTAGATCATGGCCAGTTACTATCACCATGCGTTCTGACTGGTCTCCACCCCACGCAGCGCACAGGGCTCAGGAGGCCATGTTTTCAAATAATAAACCTTGACCAAAGAGCCTAATCTCAACTATGGTCAGAGATTCTGTTATTTGGTGAGATAATTAGATGAGATAATTAGATGCCTAAGGGGTTAATGGCAGCCCACAATGGAATTGCACCAGCACTGGGAAGTGACACACTTATGGAGCAAAGATTATAGGGATCTGTTAGGGAGTGGTGAACTGGAACTTCTGGTCTTGATACACGAATCCTAGACATAATTCAAGTAAGAAATCTCTTTGTCAGTAATCTTCATAATTACTAAGGGCTGTGGTAGTCTACAAACAAAAGGGAGACATGAAGAGTTATTGTATTTTGTCGTAATTCAAAGTGTCATTTGATCCACCTCAATGACTATGACAGACACATGACAGCAATCACCTCACAGATGCACCAAGTTCAGGTTTATTGACTGACTAAATAAATACTCTGTGTGTGTGTGTCCTTGTGTGCACGTATGTAGGTTGGAACACAACTTTGGGAGTTGGGAGTCAGTTCTCTCCTTCCACCCTGTGGGTCTGGGGCTCCAATACTGTCGGCCTTGGAGGCAAGAAGATTATGTGAATACTTTAGCTATTAAAAATCTCAGGAAACGGATATCCAGCTTGTAGTATATTCCTAGAGAGATGAATTTACTCTGGGTGGCCTCTCTCCACCATTCCACGGCCAGGCCTTCCTTTGGAGTGGGAAATGTGGGATCTGCACTTGCTAAGCATCCAGCCCAGTGTCTGACTGTAAGCAGGTGAGCAGTGAATGTGCAGGAGCGCAACCAGAGCTGAGCTCTACCCTCCACTATGTGGGTCTTCCCAGCGCACACTAGGTAGTTTTCTATGGCAAAAACTCAACTCCATTTAGATTTTTCAGTACTATGTTCAACAATCCAACTTTCAAGTCTATTTCAACAATACAAGGTTTGGGCTGTAATTAGATTTAACATATTACACCTAAACGGAATGACTCCTATCCCCATCATTGTAAATAAAAAGAAAGAATGAGGAAAACCCTAAAGCCTGTACTTAATACACAAGGTAGCTCTAAGGATTAGATGCTAACAACCTGAGGGCATCCAGCGTATTTTTCTCCTCTGAGGCCTTTCCCTGAGGTAAGGGCACTGTGACCTGCACAGCAATGCTCAGAAAGACTTCCAGTTTCTCTGGCCTAAGAGAATGACAGATGCAGATGCCAGGAAGGAGGGCTATGGATGCAGTTCCGTGGCTGCATGCATGTGGAGCCCTGCCCAGCCTGCATGAGGCTCTAGGTTCAATGCCCAGTACCAATATAGCTGCTCACTTACAAGATCCATTCTTAGTAGGACTACCTGATGAGACGAGCAAGGGAATACTCAATGGGGAAAGCAGCAGAACCCAGGACCTCCACATAACTGTGCCTGTCTGGACTCAGCACCAATCCCAGATACTCTTAAGGCACAATCACTGCTACTGTTAAATGCTCAGCTGCCTGAGGCACTGTTATCCCCGGGACTAAGACCTTTTAAAAAGATAAAGTGGAGGATGAATCTGGCAGGGTTTAAAAACCCCAACATATTCCTGGAATCTCAGCAATGCTTGCACTCGAGAGCCGTGCTCATATCCAGAAGACCAGCGATGGCCCTCCTAACAACCTGACACTGACCCTGAAGCTCCACTTACGAAGAAACAAGGCCAAAGGGAAACTCATATGTCAGAGAACTGAAAATTCTTGAACAAAAGCAAACAAGTAGGTCTCTCTGATCTGTTAGTCTGGCAAGTGCCCTGGGCAGGGCGGGCCCTAATGTTTTTGGATAAGTCCTAGGATCTAGATAAAAAATCAACAGATCCTGACTTGGTCACTTTTCTTTATAAATGACGAGAGGAACTGCGCTACTGGCTAGAAATTGCAGACTCCACACAGACTGAGTGAAGACAGCCACAAGTCAGGAGTCATGGGGCTGGAAGGTGCGTAGGCACATTTACTGATGGTGACAAATAGGGAAGGCCCAGGGGCTTGACAGGGAGACAGGCAGCTGCCTCCCCCGGGCTGCAGCTTATCTCCAGGTGGCCTGAGCAGAAGCTGGTGCCCCTGCCTCTGTAAAACCAGACTCTGTCTCAGGCCTGTTTTCCCAGCTTCTCAAGTAGACGTGGTTCCGAATTCTAAGATTTGCACTGTGTAATTTAGCAATTTTCATAAACAGTGCTTTCCACATGAAGTCTAAACCTTCAAAGGCAGTAAGATGCAGTTCACAAACTTTTGAAAAGCAATAAAAAATTAATTTATGTTGTTGCTTCAGTTCAGCTAAATAGCAAATAGATGAGTCTGGCAGTGATCTACTTTCATGTTTGAACTAAAGTAATTTTAGTACATAATGCCACCAGTTCATTTACCATGAACATAAAACATTTTGATAGCAAGCAGTTACTAAGCCTTTAGAAATTACTTTACAAAAAGAGTTAGGCTACATAAAATTCGAAAAGTTAAATACCATCATAGTTATAAACAATCTGAGGATGTCCCATGAAACTGTCATTCATCTAAGTGATAAATAATTTCTGAATATTAGCTATAAAACTAAAGGGACTGAGGCATGAGACAGAACAACGAAACAACAGTAAAGACCTCCAGCCAGTTTTCAACAACAGATAAAACAATTAAGAAGGCATACAGGACACAGAAGACATGAACAGAACCATAAGCCAATAGCAATTCCAGAACATTCCACCTTAAGACAATACTTTCAGTATGTGCCCCAGTGTGTTTGAAACAGTCTCTAGAACAGACCAGATACTAAGTCATAAAATAAATCCCACTGTGATTTAAAAGGCAGCTACATAATAATGTGTTTTCTGATGAAATAAGAGGAAAATGTTGGGGTGCAGGAATGGGGGCTGGCAGCAAGGTTCTGTGTATAAAGCGTTGCTGTGCTTTATACCTGAGTCTGGATCCCAGCACCTATCTAAAAGCCAGGCATGGCCAAGCATCCCTGTCATCTCGAGACTGTGAGGCAAATCCCTAGAACTGACTGGCTCACCAGCACTACCCCAACCTGATGGCTCCAGGTTCAAGGACAAATCCTGTGTCCAGAAATAAGGTGGGGGAGGGATGGCAAGACAGCTGGGTGTCTGCGCACATGTTGAACGAGCCGGGCGGAAGGAGATAAGCAGGAGAGTGTGCAGTGTTGTCGTCTGACCTCCACATGTGCACTGTGGAGCATGTGTGTCCCCACCAATCACAACGTAACTAATCTTCTCAAAAAAGAAAAGAAAATTAATACCTGTAAGAGTTTTTCCTGCATTCAGAGGAGGAGCAATGACTTTGAAAAGTTTCTAAATTGAAACAGAAAAATCATCATCATTTCAAAGCATAGCAATTTAAAAGATAATCAAGAGCATTAAAGCTATTAAACCTTTCTTTGATGGAGTTATTAAACCTTTATTTGCCGTGAGACTAAATATAAAACTTACTATACAAACAGGGTTACTCAGAAGAACAACCATGAAACTCTGGAGCCATGCCCCCATTTAGTGATGCCAGCTACATAAAGGTCTCCGTCTAGATCATGATTTCTGACAGGTTCTGAAAAGAGCTTTGTTATTCAGAAGGCAATCTGTGAGAATCAGTCTCTCCTCCCACCACGTGGGCTCCAAGGATCGAGGTCAGACTGTCAAGAGCCTACACGGTGAGCCACCTCATCAACCCAGCCTCAACAACCATTTCTCGGTGTGGAATGAAGGCCTCAAATGAGAACTGTCTTTAAGGAATGATTTCGAGAAGAACTGGAAACTCTCCTAGTGGTGGTTTAGGAGCAGCATGAGAGTACTCTGCAGAGCCAAGACGGGGCCCTACCAAGGGGCTGACAGGCTGAAAGAGCAGATTCCCAGCACCATCCTCAGGAGAAAAGGGTGTGACCAAAATCAAATGTGGTGTGCTCAAAGAAACTGCAACCGAGTGACTACTGACCCAACAATGTTAGAGCAAGTGTCTGGCCCCTCTGGGGCACTGCTGCACTGCTTCAGTAAGCAGGGACTGAGAGAGCCACGTCATCCACAGTGACAGGAGGTGCAATCAACGCCTCTCCCCGTGAGGAGAGCAATGACAGCATCACGAATGCCTTAATATTCTGCATTCGGCAAAGCCACTCATTAGCAATTCACAGTGACTGCTGGCTACTTTCAGGGCCTACCCGCAAAAACAGCATCGCCCAACAGCATCAAATTTCGTATACCTTTTGGAAAAGTTACTACCGTAGCATAAAAAACAGAAAAGAACTTAACAAGTGGGCATTACTTCTACCTACTCTTCCCTGATGTTTAATATTTACATATGCAGATAAACAAAAGGCACCTAAGATAAGAAACTGAAGACCACTGAGGCTAAGGGTATAGCTCTGTGATAGAGAATATACATCATACAAGAGAGGTCCTGGGTTCAATCACCAAAATCAGCAACAGCAACAACAAAAAATTAAATTAAATTAAATTAAAAATTAAAAAATACCACCTAAAAGTCCCAAGCTAAGGGTCAGTGAGATGACTCAGTGGTGACAGTGCCCTGGCAGCTTGAGCTTAATCCCCAGGACTCCGTGGAAGAAGAAAGGGAACCAAGCCCCCCCCCCCCCCACACACACACACACACACACACACACACACACACACACACACTGTTCTTGACACGCAAACACATACCTGTCCATGGATAAATACAGACATGCATGCATGCACACAAAAGAAATAAATGTAATAAAAATTATTTTAAATGAATGTAGTTCTAATAAACTGATAAAAAAATTTTAAATTATTAGATGAAAACTAACTATTCAAAGTAAATGGGAGTAGAGAGAACTAGACAATGTAAAATGTCATGTTAGACAATACCTTACCTCCATTGGGCTGATAAACTCATTCATGCCTCTGTTGTAGACGTAGATCATGGCATCATACAGACGGTTTTCCCAGCACATGAGAACCACCTGTAGAAGGAAAACTCTCTTGACATGCAGCCAACACCATCACAGCACGGGCTTCCCTTCCAGCTCTGAGAATGGAGACCTTTCTCTTCCCTGAGCTGTATTATTCCCTCTTCTCTGATGGAAACTAAAATATAAAGACTGAAACCCTATAGAGGTGTGTTATTGCAGGTCCAATATTAGTTCAAACAGTACAACAGCTACTTTAAAATATCGCTCAACTGCTAATTTTGTTTCTTTGTAACCTTTCCTCCTTTCAATATTCATTTTACTTTTAATCATTAAAACAGTTCTTCAAAAATCTACAAAACACCTCCTTAGCATAGACTAAGGTGACAGACAGGCCTAGCCTGGGGCTCAACCCTCCTAGAACTAAAGCTCACTTAGCTTAGACACCCTTCAAAGGAGACAACAAAATGGTGTAAGTTAGGGCTCGTGAGGAGGTATATACGAGGTGGTTTAGAGGGAGGAAAGAAGGGGAAATGACAATTATAATCTCAGAAATAAGAGAAATAATAAAAAGACTTATGAAGACATTCAACTAGACACACAGATACACACACACACACACACACACACACACACACACACACCATTATTTACAACTACTAAAAGCATTCTAAAAGAATCTGAGTCTGTTTTCAGCATTCAGAGTCATTCAGAACAACAGATGAGCTGGGACTAAAGCACCTGCCATGGGAGGCAAAGGAAGAAATGAACATGAGGGGTTGCACTGGCAGGAGACGGTTAAGGACAGGACCATGGAAAAGGAGTAGGTGTGGTTGAACAGAGAGAGAAGAAAGACATTTAGAGAAACAGACGGCGAGCAGAATGGAGTCCTCTGTTTTCTGTTCCTCTGAGGGCTGTATCATCATTCATGTCAACAGGTCTGCAGGAGAGAACAGTACTAGGCAGGGACAGGTCAGGTAGACAGAGGCAATCTCTCTGTTACCATCTCCCTACTATGGCTATGCATATCTTCAAGCCTGATCTCCCCTTGGCCCCATCCAGTGGCCAATACCCTCACCAAGATGTCCAGCAACTATTGCAGGACAAACGGCCAGCCAGACTCCCAGTTCTGCCTCTGGCACTGTTTGTCTTCCAACCATCTTCAAGCTATTTACTCTACCTGTAAATGAACATCTTTAAATTCTCTAGCTCTCTCACTCACACATCCTCACACCCAACTTACCATCTCCAAAACATCATATCACGCTGCCTCTCTTTGTCACACTACCGCCATCCCTGGCAGCAGAGCAATTCAGCTTCAGCGGACAAATTTTACCTTGTCCGGTGAGCTGTCCTTCAGGCTGTCCATCAGGCTGCAGATCCACTGGCCTTTTCCTGTCATTTTAACACTCAAGCCAGAGTCCCTTCTCCCCTTTACACTGGTTTTCACCTAAAATAATCTTCTCCTCTAAAATTCTGGCAATGTGGATTTCTTTTTCTGTGTCCGTATTTACTTGTCTTTCTTAACAGTCTTGTGGACCCCACGCTGGCCCGAAACATACTCTGTCACTCATAACTTGAACCTCAAATCCTTCTGTCTTTGCCTCCACAACCTCGAATACTGGGAAAGCCACTCTGTTTTCCGAGACCTTCTGCATCGGTACTATTCATTTTCAACAGCAGCCTAGCTCTCTACTCTACTATCCTTTGTAACACTTGTTTTCAAATATTCTCTGGTTTGCTTACTTATCTTTCTGTTCACTGACAAACTTTTCTCCAGACTTTATGAAGAGACACTTGACAACTCGTACAGCTGCAGCACCCTCCGACCCTGACGAATTAACAAACGCTGCAGGTGAAAGTAAGTACAATAAGGATTTAAAGATATCATTCGGAGCCTGGAGAGCTAGGTCTGTCAGGAATGCGCTTGTCATCCAAACTTAAGGACCTGAGTTTGATCCCCAGCATCTACGGAAAGAGCCAGGTATGGCAGTGTGCTTAAAATCCCAGCACCAGAGAAGTGAAGACAAGACCCTGGAGCTCTGAACAGCCAGCCTAGCTTAATCAGAGAGCTCCAGGTCCCAGTGGGAGGTCCAAAGAGAAGCTGGGCACTCAAGACTGAGCTCTGGCCTCCACATGCACACCAGCAAACACACACACATGCACGCACACAACACACATACATGCACACCAGTAAACACATACACACACACACACATGCACGATATTGTTCAGTACAGCTAGGCAAAGTCCTTACTGACACTGGTGAAAGCAAACTGGAGAAGTTATCAGGATGTAAAGCAAGTGAAAAGAGAGAAACAAACAAAGCTTATAAAACTTGGTGTGACTAGGAAGGAGGCTGGTGACTGGGGTAGGAAGACTGACACAGAGAGAGCCAAACTGGGAGGAGTTTGTGTTGTTTCAATGTAGAAAAGATCAGAGCATATATATGCTGTATTTAGGAAAAGCTAAAAGTATTGGGAAGAAATAAAAATTTTTCCTAGGTGTGACCGCCATATAAGGGCAGATTAATAACATGGCCTCAAAACACTGAGCTGCTGTCACACTGTGCAGTCTACGCCAAATCAGCCACATACCAGAAAGGCATTCACAAAAAGGACCTGCTTTACCTCGAATGTTCACCAACATTAAAAAAATAATAATGGTGTTTTCAAGGTTTGTTATGAGCTTGCTTCTGCACCTTTACAAAGGGTTTGAGTCACTCTTACCCTCTAGCTAGGGAAGAAACACACTCATTATGAGGACTAATGTAATTAAAGAGTTAAGTTGTGAAATGCCACAGAAATGACCTTCAAGTAAGACCTGAAATCTCACTGGTCCTCAAATCTGCTATCAATGACAGCTGCTGAACACCACATACATTACCCACACAGCTGCCTGAACCCAGATGTACCATCAGCCACAGCTGATGGCTTATTCCAAGAAGCCCTGTGATTTGCCTCTCACACACCATCCTCTCCATTTCAAAACTCAACTCTGCTTCATGTACTAGCTGACTTTTAAATAACATCATTCTCTTAAATGTAAAAATGGTTGCTTGTTAATGAGACGGTATCCTTGGTTGAAAACAACCTTCCAGATTAAAGCCATGTTAGTCAGGCAAAAAGCATTTCCTGGGTTATTTAAAGATAAGCTGCCCTGAGCTCTGGAGAAGGTCGAAGAAACAGAAGACACTCTCTTGGGGGCATTTATCACCTCACTTACTTACACAGACTCCTGAGGCGTACATCATTAAGACTGGGGTCTGGGGAAGGAGGCACAGACCTTACTGGTCAGGTAAGATCAGTACGATCAGTGGAGGAACAGTGATTACTGGAGTGAGCAGACTGTCAACTCACCTGCTGAATATCCAGGCTGGTGATGTCCATGTGGACAATAAGGGCTTCCACATTCTCCATGAGTTTTTTATCTTGAAAATGAACAATCAAGTCTTTCATGACCTGAGGTGTAATCCCCATCAATTTATCACTTAGAATGTAAGGCTCAAGGCACTCCAAAAACACTCCTTTTGCCACTGAATTTTCACTTAATTTGTCATACATTTGGCTAAATAAAAGATCCCTATAATAGAAAGAAAAAAAATAGTAGTTTTAGGAACATTCCAAACACCCATTACATTTAGTCTGTGCCACACACCTTTTCCAAACTCGGTTTTATGGAAACACTAACAATGTTGCGTCAAGCTTTGCATTGCAACACTGAACACAGCGAACCTTCCCAATGGTTTTTTACACCTAAGAGATGTTACCAGATGTGGTGGTGCAGGCCTAATGCTAACACTCAGAAAGCTGAGGCAGCATGAGTATGAGTACAAGGCCATAAAACAAAACTGCCTCAGAACATACGATCAGCAAGAGGGCTCAGTGGTAAGGAAGCTTGCCACCAAGCCTGGATTTGATCTCAGGTCCCACAAGGTAAGAGGAGAGAAATGATTTGCCAGTTGTCCTTTCACCTACACACTTGGGCCATGGTACGTTCTCCCCACCAAAAACAAAAAAAAATGCACACATAAAACACAAGGTTGGCAGGGTTCAGCTGCTCGCTGAAAAGCACACTGGAAATACCAGTCAGAATCTGAACCCAGGTCTCCAGCCTGTGCTTAATTCTCAGGGAAACTGCACTGACAGCAGTGAGCAGGTGAGAAGGTAGACACAACGAAACAGGAAAAAGTATCAAAGTCCCATGTGCCCTTTTCCCACTTCTGGTCCTAAACATTCCCAGTGACAGACACAGTCAATAAGCTTTCTCTTGACCTCTAATCCCTCACTCCTCCTGGGAAACTGAAGTTCAGCAGAAATCTCTGTAGCCCCTATTCTCTTCCCTAAGAGAGGGAGCACGGAGAGAAACGAGGGTCGGTATCTGACCTGAGGATAAATGGGGGAGAGACAGGAGGCTTACAGAGAGAAGAGAAACCTTAGTCAGGGACTTCTCAGTAACAAACTGGAAACCCACAACAGGGTAGGCTCTGGGAGGATATGAGGGTGGCTCTGGCTGAGACTCCTAGTAACAGGGGTCATGGAGACTGAAGAGGACATCCTCTAACCAGACAGGACTCCTAGTGAAGGGAGAGAACACCAACTCACCCACAAAAACTTTGATCCAAAATTTACCCTGCCTATATGATGTGCAGGAACAAAAATAAAGCAGAGAATGAGGGAGTGTCCAACTGATGACTGGCCCAACCTGAGCCTCATCCCATGGAAGAGTGCCAACCCTGACACTATTAATGATGTTCTGCTACGCCTGCAGACGGGAGCCTAGCATAGCCATCCTCTGAGTGGCTCCACACAGCATCCACCTGATGGAAACAGTGCAGAGACCCACAACCAAACATTGGATGGAGTGATGGGAGTCTTGTGGAAGAGTGGGGGGAGGGGAAAATAGAAGTACCCAGAGGGAACAGTAGCTCCACATAAAGACCAACAAAGCCAACTATCCAGGGCCAAGGAGGTCCTGTGGAGACTGAAGCACCAACCAAGGACTATGCATGACTGGACCTAAGCCTGCTACACAGATGTAGCCGATGGGCAGCTCAGTCCTTATATGGGTTCCCTAGTAAGGGGAATGGGGGCTGACTCTGACATGGACTCTGTTGCCTGCTTCTCAGTCACTTTCCCCTGCCGGGGCTACCTCACCAGGCCACGGGGAAGAGGATGCGCTCAGTTCTGACAAGACTTGATGTGCTGGGGTGGGTGAGTAGGGGGATCCCCTTCTCTGAGGAGTAGGGGAGGGGTGATAATGGAAACAGAGAGGGAGGATGAGACTGGGAGGAGGGGAAGGAAGAGGTATGACCAGGACATAAAATGAATAAATAAAAATTAAAGTTCAAAAAAATTCAGCAGCAAAAGTTAATGGACAAGAGACTTCTGTGATAGATGAAGGCAAGATCACTCAGAGGATAGGATCAAAACGCTAGGGAAAAAAAAAAACAAAACAGACTCAGCAGCTCCTATCGGTATCACTAC